AATTCCAGATTTTTTTTCCTCTGGTAGAGGTTTTCAATTTTTTGACCTGGTGGATCATTAGCCATCTTTAGAAAGTATCTATCCATTGGACGATCGAGGTAAAACGGTCGAGAAAATCCCATCAGATATAATACATATGAAAAGTGGTACGTAACGAAAAAAAATACTTGTCAAGGAAGAAGACGAAACATATGTTGTGTATAAGAAAGAAAAAATCGAAACGTATATGAGTCAGTAATGAACCAAAATGAAAATACCGAATAACAGGAAAAAACGGCAAGAGCGTAGATATACGGAGCAACCGACTAGAGATGAATAAATTATCATCTAACAATTTGTATAAACAAATGAACCTATAGTGCTCCTTTTATATAAAATTTACCTTATATAAATTTTACCTTTAATGTCAATAAATTATCACTCATTCAGTATAATTATTGCTAAGTTTAATTATTGCTCATTTAAATTACTTTATTGCCAAATTTAATTATTGCTCAATTAAATATAAGTCGATATAGACATAAAAAAGAAAATCATAAGAATTAGTGAATAGTTTACATAAAATAACCGTAGCAAACGATTTTAATGCGTGTACAGTGGTTTAGCTAAACGAAAAGAGGAATTCCATAAATCAATGACCAATAAATAATTTCTTATAGTATATTAGTAGTCATGGTTGTACTCAAATTGAATGATAAAAGTTCATTTTTGTTACTGTCTTATCAAAGATACTTTTACTTTATATTTTCACAACTACATTTCCTGCTCAAAAAATAAAATTTTCTGTTGAAAATCTTAAAAAGCAAGACAGGCAGGCGGCCTATCTATTTTAAGTAGCCTGCCTGGCCTGTGACAGGCATAGAAATCACGGCCTGTGCCTGGCCCAGGCAGGCAGGCAGGCCCAATGGCCTGTTTGGACCTCTGTTTTGAAGCTTGTGCCTCTTCTGTCAATTGATTGTACTTTTTTCTCACCAAGAAAAACACTATTTGAATTAATAAGAGTGTGAACTTGCAAAGAGAATAAAATCATGTATCTCGGAATAAATATTTGCTCTGACTGATTGAATCGCAACCCAAATAAGTGCACAATTTTGAGAGCTCATTCTTTATGTGGCACCCGTTAGAATGCAGCTTGGTTTCAAAATAATATGATATTGAAATACTAATTATCAAAGGTATGTGTTAAAAAAGCCGAAGAAAAAAATATCGACGCAAAGAATATCGAAAAATAAATGTCGCAAAAAAAAATGTCGAACGTATCGATACGAATACACTGTATCAGAGTGCGGGTATGGGTGATGATAGTTGTGTGTGAAGAGACACCCACACTCATCCTCCACATCCACACTCACACCCACTCCTATACCCCGCACCTATAATTATGTTCTCTGTTTGCATACAATTTCTTTCGTTTTCGTTATTCTAGAATATCGGTTTGTACGATGGTGTATTGGAGAAAAGTGTTACCTAATCAATGTAGCTTTAGTGAACAATATAAGAAAGAAATCAATATGGTTTCATGACGATATCTTGAAATTTTCGATATTTTTTCCTTCAGCCTTTTTACATTCAATCTTATCAAAGGCATATTACACGCGCATACATTTTCGGAGCTTGTTTTTTTTTAATAATAATAATTAAAAGTTTGATGATGAAGGCTTGCAAATTTTTTCACCTTTCGTCAGATTGCATTTATAATCAAATTGAAATTCTTTGTTCTGCCACTATCATACATTATTCTTTTATTTTATTATCAAAAGAACAAACACCATGAGTGTAATGGTAAGTTTGCTCACAGTATTGATGCTTGTACTAATGTTGGTATTGAATCTTTAGCATTTCAGCCCGTATAGAAACATTAGTTTTCTACAAGAAAGATACGAGGCACAGAAGTCTAGTCGATTGTTTAATGCAAGTCTTGGCCACTCTACATCAATATCATCATCAAATCAAGAATCCGTATCCAATAGGACATCACAACTGAGTATTTGGTCATCGAAACAAAACCGAAGTTTATCATCTGTCAGTCCTGAATTCAAATCACCCAGTTTCGTTAACTCACAGGCATCGCAACAACAAGAGAATGTTATTAGCAGCAAACAATTGCCACACATAAAGTAAGAGTATTTGACATAGTTTCATTCTTTTCTTTTCTTTTTAATTTTTAATTTAATTCAATTGAATATCACTAGTTTATTTAAATTGAAAAATTTTTGTGGCGTCTCGTATCTCAATGAGATCCTTCATCAGACATTGAAATTAAGACAAACGAAATGTAAATAAATACAATAAGAATAAATAAACAAATTTCTTTTTCTTTCCTTTAATATTAGTCATACCGTTGATAGTGATACGGAAAACTAATATGGTAATAGTAATAGCTAGATAGGGATTGAATCTTTTTCCGTATCACTGTCAAAAGTATGACTAATATTAAAGGAAAGAAAAAGAAAATTGTTTATTTGTTCTTATTGTATTTATTTATATGCCATTTGTCTTAATTTTAATGTCTGATGAAGTATCTCATTGAGATACGAAACGTCACAAAAATTTTTCAATTTAAAGAAATTAGTAATATCAAATTGAATTAAATCCAATTAAAAATTAAAAATAAAAGAAAAGAAAAGAAGAGAATAAAATCATGTCAAATAGAAATGCAACCTTCTTATAAAAACAGGAATAAAGTAAGATTCAATCGGCAAAAGATAAGGTGATCTTCTCCAGTTCAGATGACTAAATCATGTTTAGCCATTTCTTTTCATCTCTTACACTTTCGCACAGTCAAGCAATGAACTTTGTTGTCTATTTTCCACCATGTTCATCTCTCCTTCTTTCTTCCATGTGATGTGTTCATTCAACCACTGATGTAAATACAGTAAAACCTCCCATAGATGGGCACCTTCGGGACTATTTGAAATCGCCCACCTTACGGAGGTGCCCGCGTTATAGAGTTTTGTGTATAGATATCGATCAGTAATGTTTCCGTCAGCTACACCATAAAGAGCACCTATACTTATGTATTATTAAGTGACCTTTATATCTTTGAGTGTATCCAATATTTTATTCTAAATTTTTTGATATCGTATTTGATCTAAGTTTATTTTCTATTTTAGTATTCACAATCAAGCTTTTGGAAAGAAATCCATAGTAGAACTTTGGTTGCTAGTTTTTGGATCAATGTAAACATCAGTCAGTTTCGATTCTAAATCAGTGACGAGTTGGTGAAGTTGTGGTTGACGTGTTTGCATTTGATTAGAAATCGTACTTGTATTCATCTTTTCATTGAAGAATATTATATACAGTACCCTTTGACACCTTGTACTACCCACATAATTTGCGTTGCGATAGTCCAGTGCCATCAGCATAGTCGTTGATCAATGTGATCTTCTCATCGAGCGTGAGCTAATGATATATCGTCATTTATTAATGATATTGAAGAGTAATGTCAAATAACATGACAATTTATACTCTTGTTCTCATTGATAGAATAGTGAAAAATGTATCGACGAGTAATTTTCTTTTTTTACATCGGACTAACTTTTCTCTTTCTCTCTCTTTCTTCGAACAATAAAGCACGACGAGCAAAAGAACAATGTTGAAGAAAATATTCATTATATCTGCCCATGTAAGAGAGGTGTAAAAGTACAGTATGGACTAAAAGTCAGTGCCCATAGGCAGAGGTTGGAGGTGCCCTTCTTAGAGAGGTTCATTTACAGCAAAAATCGATCGGTCGTTCTGACGTGTGCCCATATAAGCGAGATGCCCTTGTTATAGAGGTGCCCATATATAGAGGTTTCACTGTATATATGTCATGTCATCTATATTATATCTATATATATTTTGTTTTTTTTTCTACATTTTCTTTTTCTACACGCGCAAAAATAATACATTATTATACAACCTCAACTTATTATATATTTTGATTTATAAATTTGATACACTGACGATCAACAGTTTATTCTTTACTGTACATATAGTTTATTTATTTACATACTAATTTACGACCAACAGTTTGGTCTTTATTGTAAATAGATTAATAGAAATAGAAAATAGAATTTAAAAAAAGAAAAAAAAAGAAATTACATTTATTTAATTAAAGTAATAGCAAGTATTACATATTATAATTTCTGTAATAAAATTGAGTAATTCTGAACTATCGCTAAATTTTTTTTTCTAATTTCCAAAATGGCGGATAAGCAACAAAAACGAACAGAATATATGAGCACCTATCGTGAAAGAAATTCTAAAAAAATTAAAGCTCAAAACAGATTACATTATGCAGAAAATCGTGAAACAATTTTGGAACAAAGACGCAGAAATCATGCTGAAAATCGAGAAGCTATTAATGGCCGAATCTATAACAGACGTCAAAGAACTTCAGAAAGGCATTTTAAATCGGCTATTTTTGGGTCTCTGAATTTTCTTTATTCAATTGCTCATGATCTTGGGCCTTTGAATATTGAATGCGAGCACTGTAAAGCGGTTCATTTTAAAGATGAATTGAAAAGTATGTGCTGTCACAATGGTAAATTATCTCATCTTTCGATTCAGAATGGACCTGAAAATTTTCCCATTGCATTAAAAAATCTTTTTGTAGGAACTGATGCAAAAAGTCAAAACTTCCGTGAGTTTATTCGAGGGTATAATAACGCAAACGCTTTCGCATCGATGAGCGCGAATGTTGTAGACATTTCTGGAAATGGATCATATTGTTTTAAAATATCTGGTGAAGTGTACCACCGTACTTCAGAAAATATCCAAATCGATACTACTCTAGATCCAATTTCAGTTCACAAGCTTAATAATCAGTCGTTGTATGTTGAATTATATGTTTACGATACAGACACTTCTATTGAGATTCGAATGCCTAATGTCTTCGTGATATTATGACTACCATAAATACAGTTTTAAATGAAGTATCTCCTTATGCCAGTTGCTATCGGAAACTTCGGGAAATTTATGAAAAAGAAGTCTCTAACGCGAAAACTACCGGTTCTTCCATGAAAAAGATATCTTTAATTTTCACTCGAAATGTTCATGATAACCAAAGAGTCTATAATGCACCTCGAACTTTAGATGATGTTGCTATTGTTTATGTAGCTGATCGTGATGGTAACATTCCGGCTCAACTTGATTTTGCAGTTCACCCAAGTGACTCGAATACTTTAAAAAGGATTAACATGCTTTCTAAGCATCTCGATCCTATGACTTTTCCACTTTTCTTCCCAAATGGTGATTTTGGATGGATCACACATTTGTCACATAATATGGATCATGCCACTGAAAAGCGAAATAAAGTAACGATACTTGAATTTTATTCAAATAAAATTGGAATTCACCGAAATCATTTCAATCCTTTGTTCTATGGCGGAAAATTATTTCAACAATATTTAGTATACGTGTATGCCCGTTATGAAGCAAATCGAATGACATATGTCAGAAATAATCAAAAGACTTTACATGTAGAATCGTATAAAGGTTTATTAGATCATGTTAATAACATGAGCCGAGATAATAACGCCCGTATTGGTAATATATTTATTCTTCCTTCATCATTCGTGGGCGGTCTGCGTTTTATGTCCAAATTATATCAGGATAATATGGCAATGGTTCGAAAATTTGGCCGCCCTGATTTGTTTATTACTTTTACGTGTAATCCTAAATGGAAAGAAATAAAATCTGAACTTCAATCTTTTCAAAATTCATCAGATCGACCAGATTTAGTAACTCAAGTATTTCGTTTAAAACTAAAAGAATTTTTAGATGATATAGTTAAAAGAAAAATTTTTGGAGAAATTTTGGCATACGTGTACGTTATAGAGCATCAAAAACGCGGCCTTCCTCATGCTCATTGTTTATTCACATTGTCTAATCAAGACAAAATTAAAACGTCAGATGACGTTGATAATATTATCTCTGCTGAGTTACCGAATCGACATGAACAACCCGAGTTGTATAACGTAATTTTAACGCATAATATTCATGGACCATGTGGTCGATTAAATCCTAACTCAATTTGTATGATTGATGGATCTTGCTCCAAAAATTTTCCTAAAGCCTTCTGCTCTGAAACTGATGTATCTACAGATGGTTATCCAATTTATAGACGCCGAAACAATTCTCATGAAGCTCATTTCACACGTAGTAATATTCAAGTAGATAATCGTTTTGTTGTGCCATATAATTCATTTTTAAGTCTTAAATATAATGCTCATATTAATGTTGAACTATGTTCAACTGTTAAGGCTATCAAATATATTAATAAGTATATTACAAAAGGTTACAACTGTGCGCGAATCGGCATTCAAGTAAATTCGAACGACAATGTAGAAAGAGTTGTTGATTATGATGAAATCAAACAATATTTAAATTGTCGTTATATTAGTTCTCAAGAAGCAGCTTGGCATCTTCAAGATTTTCCTATTCACGGTCAATCTTATAGTGTCGTCATGCTGTCTATTCATTTGAAAGATGGCCAATCAATTTTTTTCCAAGAGAATGAAGCTGAAAGTGTTTTGCGACGAGAATCAGTCGCATGCATGACTTTAACTGCTTATTTCGATTTAAATGTTTCAGATTCGAGTGCTCATCAATATTTATACTAAGATATTCCTAATCATTACGTATTTAAAAATAAAAAATGGGTTAAACGTGCAGAGTCGTCGCATCACGGAGAAAAAGCAATAGGTAGAATTATCTCTGTATCTCCCAGAGATGTGAAATTATATCATCTTCGTTTGATTTTACTCTCAGTCAAAGGTTCGGACGCTACATCTTTTGAAAATCTGAAAAAATTCAATGGACAAACCTATGCCACATATAAAGAAGTAGCGCGAGCTAGAGATTTAATTAACGATTCGAATGAGTGGTATAATTGTATGCCGGAAGCATCAAGTTATATGATGCCTAAATCTTTACGATCATTATTAGTTACAATTATTTGCCATTGCAATCCAGCAAATCCATTGCAACTTTTCGAAGATTTCAAAGAATATATGATTGAAGATTTTGTTCATCGAGGAAACAGCGTAGAGAAATCGCTAAAATTATGCATTAATGACATACGAACGCAAATTCAACAGGATGGCTTAGATTTTTATCATCTTTTACCGTTTCCTAATTTCGAAGATATTTCAGATCACGAAAACAATTTAGTTAACTGTACTGTTAATAGTAACAATTTATTATGGAATGATCTTAATAGTGATCAACTTTTGGCTGGAGATGCTATTTTAAACTCAGTACTTGGTTTGAACTCACAGAAATGTTTTTATTTAGACGGACCCGGCGGAAGCGGGAAAACGTTTTTGTATCGTGCTCTAATTCAAAAAGTTAATCTCATTGATAAAAAAACATTAATTGTTGCATGGACAGGAATAGCAGCTACTTTATTACCAGGTGGAATGACATGCCATTCAGCCTTTAGTTTACCCTTAGATCTTTCTTCTGTAAAATTTCCTAGACTTACTCAAGCTAAAAAAGAATTTTTGAAATCGATAGATTTGCTTATTTGGGATGAAGCTCCCATGGCACCAGGCACAGCTTTAGAAATAGTTGATTTAATATTTCAAGCTTTGATCGGTGTTAAAATACCTTTCGGTGGAAAGGTTGTTGTGTTAGGGAGTGACTTCCGGCAAGTTCTACCATTTATTAGAAAAGGATCTCGATGTGCTATTATTGATTCAACAATCAAAAAATCTTCTGTTTGGCCTCTTTTTCAAACATTCAAATTAAAACGCAACATGCGAGCTATCACAGATCCTGATTTTTGTAAATGGCTTTTAGATATCGGTGATGGGATGATACCTTCACCACCAACACCTAAAATCCAATTTTCAGTTGAAGTTCCAATTTCTTTTATATCTAATGACATAGTTACCGATATTTTTGGTGATAGTTTTACCTGTGCTGATGTTGAAAACTTTTCAAGACACTCAATTCTTTGTCCAAGAAACGAAGATGTGCGATTAATTAATGAACGCATCTTGATGAATTTAAAAAATGTCGAAGAAATAAGTTTTTACGCGATTGACTCTGTAAAAAACGATGACGGTGTAGAAGATCATGATTTACAAGTAAATATTCTGGTAGAATTTCTAAATACTTTGAATCCATCTGGATTACCACCGTATAAATTAAATTTAAAAGTAGGTTGTATAGTAATGCTTTTGAGAAATCTGTCGGTAAACAAAGGATTATGCAATGGAACTAGAATGATTGTTAGAGCCTTTCGTCAAAACGTGCTTCAATTGGAAATTATCACTGATGCATTTGCTGGAACTGTTCATTTTATTCCTAGAATTTCTCTAGATACACTAAATGATCCAGCACTTCCATTCAATTTCGTTAGACATCAGTTTCCAGTTCGTCTTGCATATGCAATGACAATAAATAAGTCTCAAGGCCAAACTTTTGATAAAGTTGGCCTCTATCTTCCAGAACCCTGCTTTTCTCACGGTCAGTTGTATACAGGATGTTCAAGATCAACGGAATCGAATTGTTTAAAAATTCAAGTAAAAGACACTACTAGACAGGGCAAAACGAATAATGGAGTAACTGTAACAGATAATGTTGTTTATCGTGAAATTTTTTCATGAATTCCATATGTTTAACTTTGTGCGTTTACAACTTTAGTAAGTTTTTTATATTTAATAAGTCAAATACTAATCAAAACCTTTTATTAAATCAATTTTTCCTATAATCATAAAGTTCAACTCTTCACAGGGGCCTCTAGTTCTTAATATAATCGACACCTGTTGTTTCTCTATTCATAGAACAGTATTTATGATGACCTAGTTTAAGCGTTGACCGTGCATGACGGATAGAGATGAAGACATAAAATGAAAATTAATTCTTCAAATATCAATTAGCTATTACTAGATATAATACTCATTTCTACATATCAACTCTTTTTTTTTTTATTCAACGTCATGCATGTTCACTTGTAATGTTAGAAACATTAAAATAACTTTTTTCTCTCAAATAAAGCGATCTCATTAAAAAAATATCATAACTCAAAATCTTTTTTTGTGGAAATATTTCATCTTGTTTTGTGAACGGTTTAATAAAGATTAGAATTTAAAATAAAATTGGTCTTGAAGTTCTATAAGAAATAATTCTATGTATAAAGGTTCTCAAGTACAAGATTGTTGTATTCAAGGGAAATTTGAAATGATTATCAATAGCACTCGAATGGGTTTTTTTTGAGTTTTATTTCATATATATACGCATACAATGAAGTATAGCAGCCCTTAATGTGAATATAACGAAGTTTGAAAAATTGAGATTTTATTAATCTAAAATTAGGATCTGGAATTTTCACCTTATATGAATAGAATAGAAACAAAATGTTAATTTCAAAAGATCTATTTTATTCAAATATGATAAAGTTTATCTAATTAAAAATGGGTTTGACATCAATGATGTAATCAAACTTTTTCTCATCTTTCATTAATAATAAAATCGATATTATCATCTAAATAAAAATTCTATTTCAATACTTTCCTAGAGTTTGTATCATCATGAACGAATTCTGAGCACTACATCAATCAAACGTAATTTTTATTATCTTCTCCAAATCTTCCAATCATTCTGTTGTCGTGTTTGCAATGAGATACTGAAAGTTTAAGGGATTAGAGGTTTACTTCTGCTATAATCTTTTTCAAGAAACCAAAGTTTAATTGTACAAAGGGTTAATTTTTCGTTTATGTATAGAGTCGACACTTTGCAATATCTCTTGAAGTACATAACCTTTGACACGCGATTTAAATTAATGTCTTGTTATTAAATCCTATAGAACATCGTTTTATGTTAGCTTATGATAACTTTAACGTTATCTAAGGACTATTTTCGATCAAAAGTATCATTACAAATGACTAAACCTTCGAATAATCATTTTGTCTATATTTTCTTCGTTATTTGTGTCGACAACAACATTAATTTTCTTTTCTTCACATTTTACTTTGCATGAGCGGGCGGTGATGTCGTACGTTAGGAAAAAATCGAGTCGAAGAAAAAAAAGAAAATCTTCTCCATATACGTATATAGGCTTGTGATCATAGATACATTCGTCAGTTCAATAAAAGAATAATTCATTTCTTTTATTTTTCGCTTCGTGTAAATCGATGATGCCTATTTCCTTTTTTAAGATAATAAATGGGTGATTTAAATACGTTTATAAAGAATCATCGACATTTGATGGAAAATACTCTGGATGTGCTCTTCATAAGTACCCATTATTATCTTCTACACAACGATTATCATTTAACAAAAGATAAAATGGTAAAGAAAATTTTTTTTTAATTAAAATTTCATACTGGTTTTAACAGATCGTTGAATTGAACAAAACAGATGTTAAACAAATCAATACCGAGAAGTTAACATATACGAACGGCATTACGACAATCGAGGTTTCGATGATTCGATCACAAAACGAACTTTTTGTTGATTTTGCAGTAAGTCAAAAAAAGGAAACATATGATGCAAAAATAATGGCATAAAATATGTCGACCCTTATATTTCTTTATAGACACGACTCTGGAAGAAATTTTTTTTAATCATTTGATAGGAAATTTTCTTCTAGAACCGTATCTATAAAGAAATATAAGGGTCGACATTTTGTGCCATTACTTCTGCATCGTATGTTATTTCATAATATATAGTATCAATCACATATCGTATCCCAAATAATAAAAATCCTTTTATAGGATCCTGAAAGTAGGGGTGTCAACTTTGCGTTCCGTTCCTAGGAACGGGGAACGCTACCCCGTTCCTCAGCGTTCCGTTCCTAGAAACTGGAATGCAACATACGTTTCTTTCGCTTTTACCAGAAATTTTACTAATTCACCGAAGGAAAGCCAATTTCATAAAAATTAGGGATGTCAACGTGCCCCGTTCCTCAGCATTCCGTTCCTAGGAACGGGGAACGCTGACACTCCTACCTGAAAGAAAGATATCTGCACAATCACAAGTACCGCTTGAATATGATGAAGATCATAAATACAATATCTCATAGTATGCTATTTTTATGATTTTTGAATGCTTTTTTCGGAACATTTATTTCGTTGTTTTTTAGTGCATACGAAAAAATTGTCGAGCTATACAAATGGTACAACTTGAAAACCCGGCTTTTCAAAAAAAACATTTCAACAACAAATTTAAAAGAAGAATTAATTGGTTCTTTATCA